ATCATCATCACAGAGTAAAATACACGAACTGAAGAACATAGAAATGATAAAATAATTAAAATTCTATTATGGTCTGATGTGGCAGAACTATGTCAGTGACTAGATATAGTTTTATGTCGTGGTGATTTCCTTTACCAATTCCATCGTCGTCAAATTCTGTGAGGGTTTTTTTCTGTCCATCGATAACGATGATGACAGAAGCAGTATGCATGATACAGATAGAATCTAGTTTGCCTGGGTGGTAGACATAGATGAAATAAGTAATAGTATGGGGCCTATCATGTATTGTTGAAGTATTACTTCCCTCCCTTCAGATCTGAACTTCTTTGACCTAGAATCTAGATCTAAATCTAGATTAGATCCAGATATAGATTTGTAGATCTAGATCTATGAGTTACTATTTCAAAAGTATGATAGGGATGCTTTTTCTGCTTGTGCTAATGATTTTAAAGGATTGCCCTTTTGGGAACTTACTCGGATCTTCGGCCGCAGGGTCTGCAAAGGATTTGAACCTCTGCCTTGCACTTGGGTCTCTCAAGTCTGTGGAGTCTGTTTTAGTTCCTTGGCGTAGGCTCGTGGAAAATCTGCGTAAGGAATGTCCTATAACGCGAATGCTGGGATTTGACGTCAACATTTTTTTAAAGCTTTTGTTCACGAAAGGCAAAAATCTATCAGTGCAGATTTATTCTAGGCCCTAATAGTTTACTACAATTCGTCTACTGACCGAACGCCTTGTTTTATGCCCTGCTACAACATCGGTATGATCAAAGACTGAAGAATGTTGTCGTCCGTCTTGGGTATGATAGACATAAGCTAGGCCAAGGCCAAAGAATAGTCTTATTAGTGACGAAACGAGCACAAAAGCATCGATGTGCAAGATGGTGCGAGGGATAAAAAAGAATGAACACTGCAATTTTTTTCGTGTTTTAAAGCAGTTTCAGCGTTGCTCAAATTTAAACAACAACAACAACAACAACAACAACAACAACAACAACAACAACTACAACTACAACTACAACAACAACAGCAACAGCAACAGCAACAGCAGGGGGGAGGGGTGGGTTATTTTTTTCAATTCTTTTTTTCCAAACATGAAATTCATATCAGGGAACTTGCAGAGGAGCATCTTCAGATGTTTGTTTGTTTTGTCTTAGTACGGTTTACGGCGCTCGCAACTGCATGAGGTCATATGAGCGCCAAGGGGTGGATGTCAACGGAGAAGTCAAAAG